CATGCTGTTGTATCAAGATCCCTACACACACAATGAGATTTTAAAGGGGAAAAAAAGCAGACAGGGCAGCAAGATGTGGCTGGCTCGTGGAACAACACCTGCAATAGAGAGCACAGTCACGACTCCTATGAACAAAAGTTAAACCCACCTACCCAGGAAAGCGTACGAGCTGCCAGGCACTCAGACAGGACTCAGGTTTAGAGTTTCCTACTACAGAGTGCCTTAAAAGCTTACACCAATTTATCTAGTGCTTCTCCTTTAGCAGCAGAAAATAAAGTGGGTCAAAGGCAGCATTTCAGTAGGAAAATCAATCTAAAATTACAACACTTGGGGAAACCTAGGCAATGATGAGAGAGAACAAGGAGCATGGCTGCACGGATCTGCCCCTGCCTTTTCTCCTACGTAAGAGGTACAGACCACAAAGCACCTGTACACCATCTCCGCTCAAGCCGTGGGAGGACCATTACCCTTCATTTCTGCACAAAAACTCAACTGTCACCAGGCACTGTAAGAAGTTGCAGCAAAACCTCCTCAACCTCAGATTTGCTCTGTAGCTCAGCTTAGCAAATATAAGGAAGGAAGGGTCAGCACTGTTGAGGTGAGAAGAAATGTACTGTGGAAACTCAGTCTGCCTCTTGGTATCCAAAGAAAGTTTTGTAACAAAATTAATCCCCTTCTCTGCCCAGGATGGGCACATTCTGCTGTGCCTCTTTGGAAATATTTTACAGAACTAAACTTCACATCCATAAGCTTTCATTTATTTTTTTTTTAAATTTCTTTTTCAGTGGAAATATGTCAGAGTTCAAACACCACGCCATTTGATTTCCTGTGTTTGGAGTGTTTGGATCTCACATGGGCCACTTTGGAGACGTGACGTTGGGCTCTGCAATCAAACCTTTGATTTGAGACTAACTGTATTTCCTAAAGGAGACCTTAAGGTACAACAACTGATCCATTTGCAGTACTGGAATATTATTCTGTGCTGTAAATTCCTCCTTACAAACATTAAGCCTATTTTTTTGAATGGATGTGGATGCTGGATGTGCTGGTATGCAAAAACTCCTTTGTATCAGTTATATAAAGACAGTCCATGGCTATGGCATCCACAAAGGACAGAAGAGCAGCAAGT